AACTCGTGGACCAACCACACTAAAACTACGATCACCAAAACCCTTGGTTGAACGATAAGGGACTATGAGCCTAACAGTGTGTCCATGGTGAGCATACTTAAACATATCTTGAAGGTACAGTGGCGCTATTCCATTAATAGCCTTAAAAGATAGGAGACATATTTTAAAAATCACTCTTTTAGGTATATTAAGCCAGTGCAATTTATCAAGATCGTCGCCTAGGTGATCAAATTTATATTTTCCAGTTACTGCTTTTGCACAGGCATTTTGAATAAGCTGTAGTTGATGTATGAGGTACTTGGAGATGCCGTAAAACATGGCGTTACAGTAGTCCAAACAAGAAACAACGAGGCTATTAACAATTGTCTTAAGCTGTTTTGTAGTCAGCAGAAACCGTATCTTAGTGAGGTTGCGTAGTGTTAGGAAACATTTCTTCTTCAACTCAACAACATGGTTGCTCATAGTAAGCCCAGAGTCCATATGTATCCCAAGATTCTTAACTGTGCTCACAAATCGAATAGTTGTGTCACTCCCAAAATTCACTCCCTTTATATTGATCTCTCGTAGGACGGACATAGGACCAAAAACGATTATCTGTGTTTTACTGTCATTCATTGCTAGAAAGTATTTTTTCATCCAAGCTCTAATAGATGCAAAGCATCCCCTGAGCTTAGAGAGTAACGTTTCGCACTGGTTGATGGGTTTAAATCTCTTTAAGATCTGGTGGTCATCTGCATACCCATAAATTGTGAAGTCCATTCCTTGTACAAATCTATAGATGGATCTGATATAAAGGTTAAACAGAACAGGTCCCAGAACTGAGCCCTGAGGAACACCAAACTTAATAACTATTTCTTCAGAGAGAGTAGAACCAAGTCGAATTCTCTGAGCACGACCTTTTAGAAAGCTAGTAAACCATTTTAACACAGTGCCCCTTAGTCCTATCTCCTTCATGAGAATGTTCAGTAAGACATCATGGTCTACAGTATCAAACGCCGCCGATAGATTAGTGGAAGATTGCACGTTCGAAACCCGTCGGAGGTAATTATTCTCCCACATTTTTTTGGCATTTATGAAGAACTCCATACCCGTAGTATATTCCATGGTAATAGAAGAGCTTTAAAGTTTTTCAAATTGTTGCTATAATTGATTTAAATAAAAATTTGTTGTTTTCTTGAAAAAATTTGTTGTTTTCTTGAACTAATATTTAGGAGTGAACTGGGTTAAGCTTAAACAATCTATTACGACTTAAGAAGAAGTCATAAATAAGTAGCTACCAGCTTGTCAATGTGCAATGGGACAACACACGTCAATTAGAACAAGAGCTCACCTGTGACCAGTCGGCTGCGAAGCGGCCGAAAAATATATAGTCTTTTTTTTTCCCCAAACTCCATTCCTAGTCATATTTAAAATTTATTCCACTGGGCCCAACCCATGTAGCTGATACACCTCACAGCAAGTATACCAAAGTGGCTCTTGCTTGTGAAGGGTGTATCAACTACCCGCCGAGGCGGTGGGTTGGGAGTCCCCCCTGGGATCATTTCGTACGTAAAATTTTACACATTATAAAAGCTACAATAAATTATCTATAAAATTTACATAAACAAACTTAAGAGAGCTCAAAGCTCGTCTTTTGAGGAATGAGATTGAAGGATACGTCATCCAGTCCAAGGTGCTGGGCTTTTTGTCTTCCTCTGATTCCCCTGAGTGCTATGAGTGTGCTTCGTAGCAGATCAAACCTGAATCGTGTTCTGATGTGATTTTTGACCTGGCTCTTAGCTTCTTTATTGTGGTCAGCTATCCTTTCAGAAATACGATCTACAAACACAGTGCAGAGTGGGCCCATACCTCCGGATGTTGTAAAGACTAGTGGGACAAAGGACCCTTTCTCTGACTGAAGTACTCTCTCCTCATATAGATCTTTCTTCTCTTTCTCATGCGCACTGTAGATTTTATCTAGTGGCTTAAATGTATTGAGTCGCAATTAGGATGAGTGACCCTGATGTCAAAGAATGTTCTTTCGAATGGTGCATACAGTCCAACAGCTGCTACGTCCAGACGGGCTTCATCCTGGGTGTTGGTCTTCCTGGAGAATGAAGTTGGTTGGACAAGTAGGAGTGCAGGTTCTATCCTTACATCCTTACACTTTGCTTCTTGAAGGAAGAAAGCTGCAGTGTCTCTAATGGCATTGTGGCACATGCAAACGTATCCACCTAATTTACAATCAAGGGAGTGGTAGACACTGTTTGCATGTCCGCAAGCACATTTAGAGGGCATTCCTTGGATCTTCCATCCATAGCGTAGGCGTATGCTGTCTTGGAACTCTTGCTTGTTTAGAACATAGTTGAGGTCCTTTAGAGGTAATGCTGAAAGCCATGTTGATGGTCCCTTCTCTCTTGCTTGGTTTAAGTGGTTCTTAAGAAGATGATCTGACCCATTATAAAGCATCTTGAACGTGTGGTGTTTTATTTCACCCATATTATAAGTTTTTGTTTTTGTTTGCTGTCGCCTGTGAAGTGTGACAAATTACATACATAAGGCCCTGTGTGTAATGCAATCGGTAGTTTGGAGGGAGCTTGGGCCGGCCCCAAGTCCCCCACCCTCTCCTCCCTTGTCATACGTTGTATGACCCGCCGCGCACGAGTGCGCGGTTCCCCCTGTATCGTCGAAACTCTACTATAGTGAAGCGACAGTGGGGGTCACCACGTGATACAACTCCTCCCCAGTCCGTCGATTGGACACAACAACAAAACTGCCAGCCACCTCCCACGAGCCGGTTCTGAAAGTAGCCAAATGACAATCAACAAACTGGCTCTAAATTTAGATCTAAATCTGCTATCTTAACTGCACTACCATTTTAATTTTGACGGATGTTACTCGTCTAAATTTCTTCAAAGTAGCGCGCGCCGCTTTCTTCTCGAAATGGCCCGATGGCAAGTGCTACGAAATAGCGCGCGCCGGGCCAGACCATTAACAATGGTCAACTTTAATTGCATCCCTCTTTCTCCTCGAAGACCGATAATTGTTCAAGTTCTCAATAATTCATATTTTATTCTTTTCCTGATAAATGTCATCGCCTTATTTGCATTGTATCTTTGACCTGATTTTCTAAATAGTTCATCAGCTAACTTTTAAAAAAAGCATTAGCTAGCTTTAACGGGTGATACTCGTAAAATATCTGTTCCATATATTGGACTGTCGACGAGTCCAACTCGGCGCGCGTCTTCATGTTAGGTTGTAAACATACAAAGCTAGCTTAGATAATATTTTGCTATAAAATATCGTGTCAAGACTTTGTAGCGCGATGCACTACTGGGTCGCGCGCGCATCAAATAATGCTTCTCGCAACCACGTATGCAGATCGGCGAGATGCGAAGGATTGACATCGTGAATCAAGTCAAGACTGAAAATCTGTTTTTGTTTTGCGTCAAATTTCTCTCTCTTCGTTTTAACACTAACAGTACTGCACCCCTTGTACTTGTAACTTGATGCCCGACCATATAGCCAAGGCTCAGACGGCCTACACTGAAATTTCCGATATATTGGATAGTTTCCCGACTATAAATAAAAGCAACAGATCAAAGGAAGACAGTCAAAAGGCGTTTGATAATTCAAAGCTGAAGATTTTCAACCTCATGAAGTCAAGCATTCTGCCTGTTATCACTGATAAGGGTGCTACATCATACACTTACATTGTAAAGGAGAATTTGCGAGTATCGGCTGAGATCAAAGATTTGCAGCTCATAATCATATGCACATTTCATGTCTAATAACCCATTGATTGCTAAATACCGAGGAATCAATGTTTCTTGATTGTTAAATTCAGAACTACATGTTAACGTCCTAAAAATAATTAATCATTAAATGTTCCGGATAGGAACATTTTTCTTTTTGATAATATTGTGCGAACTGCAATAGCGTAGAGTGCAGTTGGGTTTCAAGTTTTGTCGAGATGGCCATGTGGCCATAATCCTATTATTATTATTATTAAGACTATTCACAAGGAGACTAATGTGCAAAGAAACTGCTGCTAACTGCTGGAAATGGCGCGCAAGCGACAGCAGCCGTTTTTTCTACTTTGCACTTTAAACTCCGGCTCTGTGTATTGTTGGCTGTGTCATGTCATATGTGAAGGTACGTTAAATTACGTACGTACGTCGGCTATACTAGCTGGCATGGCGCGCAATTTATGATTTAGCGCCGCCTTGTCTATAAATTTTCAAATCGGTCCCCGCGCGTGCAGACAACTGGTTGCTGAATGTAAACAGTTTCTAACATGACGTACACAACGGTATATTAAATGTAGATGATCATTGATCATGATACATATACACAAAGGCACTTAAAGAAGCTTGTAAAAACAATATACAATGTCGATAACAAGGAATTATTAAACTCTTCTGTCAACGTAAAATTTACTGCTGAAATTGATATACTGAATACCGATCATTAAATATGGTGGTAGGAAGTAAAAATAGCAGCCGTATTCTTGGATAGTTATTGTCAGAGCAAGGATCATAAATTACAGGACGGCACTCAGCCTGTCACTCCGCCATTTCTTAGATCATGTTTTCAAACAATAATAGCCTGAGGTCCCCTTACTGGGCGGCGCTCAGCCTGTCATTTATGAACTTAATAGCTTGGAGTCCCCAGGTAAGGGTCCCCAGGTAAGGATCACAGACGCTCGCGCAGTACATTTTGGGATATACTTTTGTATATTTATTGCATGCCTGCAATGTTTAATAAACTTTGTTTTATATTGTATTGCGAGAAATAATCATTAGATTGAGTATTGTGCAAGCTAACTATCACATAATTCATCAAAGTTGTCAGCTCAATAACAAGTTAAGTTCTTCTGTAAAAATGTGCCTTTCTTGCTTTCCGATCACCAAACATTTATATAAATCATATAAATGTTTGAATTAATCTGCAGTTTTAATTCTATGAAATCCAGGATGGCCATGGGTACTAGCTTTTAGACAAATTCAAAGTACAGATATCATGTATCAATTTGGTATTAACAAATTAACTATTCGGATAGATACAATAATAACTAATATTAATGCAAAATCTCATTACATTGACAAAAGATGAAAACTGCCCTTTTTCAATATTATGTCAACTGTCAACTTTAAACTCACTATAATTGAAAGTGTACATGAAACTGAATAAATGAATCAATCAAAATCTCAGTCGTACAAGTCAATGGTAGAACGAGTGAAATTAAAATTAAACGGAGGAATAATTGTTTAATTATATGTTGCATTTTTGCTGCCGTTCTGCTTCCGACATCGACTGGTACGATCATAATTTGCAATATATTAAAGTCTGATTACAGAGATACTATAAAAAAGCTACAAAAAATGAAAGCGGTAAATACAGTACACAATCTAAAACCTTAACACTTAAAGACAATAGCATACTATTTACAGTAAATATTAACATAAGTAACTTCCGTGTGCTCTGGAAAATATCATAATACTATGTTATCTACAATAATCAACTAAACATTCATAATATATTAACATACTATACAACTACAATAATTATAACTATACTAGATCTGGAAACTGGCGGGGAGATCGACCAGAGATCAGTTTTGACACGTGACAGTGATTCTGGGTTGGAATTGAACAATGCTTGAAGCTTATTTGTTAATCACTATCACATGTCAGAAAAAAATTTGGTCCACTTCCACCAGCATCGATATCTATATAATGTTAACAAAAACATCATGACATGTTAGAGTAGGCGTGTGTCACATTATAAGGGTTAGGAGCAACTCTCAAGTCATCGGAAAAGCAGCAGAAGGTATAATTGTAGCCTTGGTATGTGACCCACTTGTCGTCGGACGCCCCCTTTAAGTGATGTCCGTGACATCGTAACTGAAATAGTTAGTCAATTAGTAATCAATTAGATTAGTAATCAATTAGAAGCTCTATTTGACGTTAAGCACTTGCAAAATGAGCAATCAGTACCACTGAATTTACCCCGCTTACATATTATTACAGTAAACACTAGAATAATTCCTCCAAATTGATAAGATAATATCACTGCAGCCAGGTTATTAGAAGGGTGATCCGTGAAACTGTACATGTAATTCAAGAAGCGGCCCAGACACATTCCGTAAACCTAATTAGAAGTTCTAAACAGGGCATCGTGCCAGCAACAGCGGAGTTCTCGAAAAGAGTTTGAAGCCTTATATAATGTATATTGTACAATATAATTCGAACAATTGGAACAAATCAAATTGGCGGGCAAACGATCCGTTTCATGATATGTATAAAACAATACCAATCACCAGTCCAATATATGTATAATAGATCTGCAAGCCAACTTACCCTGTTTCCACTGCAAGGTTCTGTTTTAGTAACTATTCCCTCGTGATACCTCCCACCACCTGTTCTCACCCCTTCCTGGCCACAGTACTGACCTGTAATTAGTTATTTATATAATACGGGTAATATCTTGGGTCGTCGGGAACCAGATTGTGGCTTTCTAGGTTACGGAGGTAAACAACACTTAAGAACTAAGTTGATGAACCACTTCCAATCAATAAAACTCTTCCATTTTCGATATATTTACGCTCTATTTAATTTCACTCTCTTTGAATTAAAAATATTAAATATTATGGAGTATAATAAATTGTCCATTTGTGCCTCAAACACAGTTATTCACGTTTAGAATCAAATTCTCCGCTTGCAGGATGCGGACAATATGCTAATTTTGTAAGAATACAATTCAAACAGATTATGATATTGTAGGAAAGTGCTCGAAGCATCGGCAATTCTTATAAATAAAGTAGTTATCACAAAAATCAAAGCAAGTTACGGTATATCACTACAATTTTACAATTTAATAAATTCATAATACACATTACAGCGCTACTACTGATTCCAATCAAATAAAAAGTATTGATTAGGTTATTTCCGGGGTTCCTAACGATTTATAACGATACAGGGAGTTTCTAGAATCATTAAATCTTGGATCAGTTAAATCAGGAATTTTGCACCTGGTATATTTCACTAGTGCAATAATAGTTTTAAATAAGAAGCTCGTAATACTATTATTATAAATTACAACCTTTGGCTCATTGAGAAATGTTTCAAATCAATCTACGCTAATATTTCCAATCAAATCATGTGCATTTTTTGCCCCGAATCTTATCACACTCATCCTTCATTGCAGGTATGAGACCGAATCTAAACGCTTTATCCAGCAACTGATTACTAGTCTCAACATTAGGATACTGTCTCCCGGCCCAAACTAGATAAAACTTAAACTCAGGCCAATCTATCATTCCATCGTTATCCATATCAAGTGCCTTTAATCCCAGCTGACTGTCCGCACACCGATAACACCCAAAGTAAGGAGCCATGAACCCGATGTAGAAGTGGTCGAAAGTAAGATGGTTGTCAGCCACTCCTTCTCTCCCATCCCACTTGTCCCATTCCTCCTTTATCTCCTCTATGAGATTGTCAATGTGAGGCCCGTTATCGTTGGACTTCTCAATAGCTGCAGCCATAGCTGGGGTCAGCTTACCTCCCGACTGATCAAACAACATCGCTAAACCAACTTCACTGTTGTACTCCTCCCGTCGACCTTCTTTCGCATTTTCTAAAATTTGTGTTCTCATCAAATCGCCCAGTTCTTCCGTAAACTGAGGGTCATCTTCAAACAGCTCTTTCATCTTCAGGATTATCATTTCACCTGATGCCATGGTTGTGATCCTCACAACTCGTTTCACCCCCAGGAATTCTGCCATGTCGAACCCTTCACATATAGTGGGATCATCATCCATCGCTGCAAAGACACCCCCAAACAGCATGTCCAGCGCTCTGTCTCCGTAGATAGGCTTCCTCGGATCAGGGCTGTCACCACTCGCTATCTCGGTCACCTTTATAGCTGCTTCTCTGAGATACTTGCAATTGAATTGTTTCTGAACTGCTTGGTTACCCAGCCTGATCATGTTCATGAGCGTGGTACAAGAATCAGCATGTCCCAGTGCTGCTCCCTCAGTGCACACCCCACACCACACCCCTGTAGCTCCACTAGCGAGACACTCTAGGTTGGTAGCGTGCATCATACCCCACTGTTCATGAACGTGGAATATGAACTGTCCGTCCTGCCATCCACATCTGTCCATTTCGTTTCGCACTGCTTTGGTCCAGGCAGCTAAGTGATCCATTAAGGTTTTACCCATGTCTTCGTAAGCAATACCAGTTACCCTCTCATTTGCAGGTAGGGTAGCTAGGTAGTTCAACACATGCCAGATTCTGTCAGGTCTATGAGTCATTGTGTTGCTGAAATCTCTGAAATTCACAAATATCATGGAGTCTGGTGATAAATTGGCCCGGATCCAATCAATTTTCTCTTTGATGAATTTGCAGACTTCGTTCATGTTAAATTTTGTGTAGTCAATTTTGTGGTACATAAGGTCAAACTCGATCATGACGTTGTTTATTCCATATTTTTTACATTTTTGAAGACCAATCGGAATGTCTGGCAGTGGCACCCAATCTACAACTTTATCCCACATCTCAGAGAAAGCAAATGCTCCCGAGAGGTCTTCTTTGGCTGCGATGAGCTCTTCGAGGAAGAGGTCACCAATTCTAGTCTCAGCTGAAAAACTTTCGATGATGTAGTATTTGAACCCGCATTTCTTGATTTCCTCAAAGATAGCTCGTTTACTTTCCACTGTGTGTGCTCTAACCGACGCTACAGTAGTTTCTCTCAGCGAATTGTCCAGAACAAAGATCTCCATGTATTTCAATCTATCAAGCTTCTTATTTCTCTCATCAATCAGACCCTTTACTTCGGAGACGAAACCTTCCATACTAGGAACAGCACTTGAGCCATCCGTCTCCACATTTCCGTTTGTCTCCACATGTCCGTCTATCTTGGGGCTGATTGGGTATTCGGGGACAAAAGAGTTCTTGCTTTGAAGGCAGGGCGTTTTTCGCTTAAATAGATCAGAGAAGAATCCCATATAAAACTTTATCTGGAATAGTAAAAACTGAAGGATATTTAATAAATATATTGGAAGATGAAGTAAAACTCAATGGAAGAAAACATAAATACGTCGACTGGCGAGGGACAAAGGTATGGAAAAGAACACTGAAAAATGAGAAAGAATATGAAAAGAAACAGATATATTGTGATACAATGTTTGTTTGCTAGAAGTCAACAGCAACACTGCAATGATATGCGGTCAACGCATGTATGTAATATAATATCCAGTGTATCTACTTAAATAAAGAAACTGTCATACAATAAGAATCAAGCAATTATTAGGTTTGTCAAGCAGGAGAGGAACGAGTAATTTTTGATGGAATTATTAGCTTCCAGGATATCATGGGAGTGGCCAGCAGTAACGAATAAATGGCCAAAATTGTACAATTTAACATTAATCGTCAATAACTAATCATTAATCATTAATCATTATAAAAATCATAATTGAAACTCCCAAAGCCTAAATCTTAAACAAGAAGGTCAGCAAAGTAGTTTATGAATTCTCAGGAACCACAAAACCGATCAAAATGCCGTTCCAACATTCTTTGCACGTGCACATTACAACACCAATGCTGTGCAACCTTTTGGTTTTTACCTAACTTCCTATTACTCATCAAATGTGCACGTGGGTTGTCGTACAGACAGACATACATACAGAGAGAATCTTAAGAATAATATTAAATATACTAGAAATCCCGTGGTTACAGGGAGGGACGTAATAGTATTCTTTGGTTGTCAGTTTTTATCGCATCAAAAAATATCTATCACAACCGAAGATACAGCCCATTAAATGTTAAAATGTAGTTCGCACGTAATATGACAACAAAATCGATCAAAATGTCGTTCGCAAATCGTTGCAAAGGCCACGGGCATGTGCGAGTTCAACACTGTTACCTGTACCATGGTTACTATGTAACTTGATCCTATTTCTCATCAATCTCATCATGAATCTCAATAGGCATGTAAAAACAACTTATAGACTTAATGCTTTCGTTTAAAATTGAAATGTAACAAAATTATTAACAAAAATAAAATGAATAACAAAATAAATAACAAAAATGATAACAAAATGAATAACAAATTGGTTTCGTGAGCTCATGTTAAACAGGCAAGAAAAATAAAAACGTGGCCCATCCATTATTTAGGTTCCGTTCATCTACTGTAAGTGAAATGTGTCAAAAAATGAAAAAGAAATGAGGTCAAAATTTTAGACAAATGAATTCCACGCACTCAGTCCAAATACGATAAAAGAACTGTAAAATACTTTATTAAGAGCTCTCGAAAAGCAAACCACTGAGTACTGACGATCTTCGATCTGAGGCTGATTTTAAATAAGCAACTGAGGGACGGCAGCGACAAGTGGGACTGAAGACATACTACCTATATCTCCAAACAACCAAGCCCTGCATCTACCAGCTACCTCTGCCCGCATGATATTATTGGGCTGGTAAGGGTTCTTGGATCCTGATAACCCCGATACAAGGAGCAGTAGGGCAAAATTAGCTACTTTCACTAACAGGGGATGTTCCCGTGTTATACAAGTATTACTGGCCAAACTATCATCTTTCCCTCATTTTTCTCCTAAAATAAATTAATAATTTAATTACCAAAAATCATACGTCCATAAAGTTATACGTTCATAAAGCTACGATAAACAAAAATAATTACAAAAGAACAACTTCAAACACGACAGCAGGGAATTCCAACAAAACACAGCACACAAAACTAGTGTAAACTAACAACCACAGTCACCTTCCCAGTTCCAGTACTACACCGTAACACCGCTACACGTCATGCATCACAATGTAGAACAGAATTCAATTTATTATCTTTTTTAAAAGACTATCAAATAAATGCAAAAATGAGCCTTCATTTGAAAAAAATGAACACGAATATTTTTCGATTTGACAAATTCCTCGAACCAGTGGTGGTAGTAAGTCATACCGGAAAGAGTTATTTCAATTGGGCACTCAGTGACTGAGCTATTAAGGCTAACGTTTGCACATTGACTTTTGGCCCACCCTGTTGTTTCCATAAAAACTCGTATTGCGAAGGGGAGGCCTGCCTTCCGAGATCGCATTACCAAGGGGAACCCTCGAGTCCAAAATCGTATATCGAAGCTGGACACTGTCCGAGGAAGTGTGGGACAGACTTTTCTTCGTCGCCGCACATAGGACTGGTATCTAGTGTTAGATTTGCAGATGGTATGAAGGTGCTTATTGAGACCACAGTGTACACTGTCCTGAGATCAGGTGCACTACAGTTCTCTAGTTTTATCTGTTGTTTTTTAATGTGGCGATGAGGTTTTTAATGATGGTGGCATGTTTGGTGCCCAATGTCATATTGGACATTGGTGTGTCTTGATCTTAAGTTTCGGGATGATTTTAGTATCTGAATACTCATATTTATAGATATAAGTATTCAGATACTAAATAAATAACTAGACGACGTTTTGATTACATTTCCAAATTTTAATTTAAAGTTTTCAAATTTTAGTAAATTGTCGAGAGCGTAGCCCATAGAAATGAAATTATTTCAATAAATAAAGATCTGATGACCCTGAAGGCTGAAACAATGACTCGCCCCACATAATATCACTATTGCAGTCATTTTGCTTATCCTATGGGGCTCCCGGCTCATGGGTGTCTTTTTGACGGTAGTTACGAGTTTTTCAAGTGCGGTCCTTAGTTACCTGTAGAAAATTTACTCTAACGTTTTTCCGAATCAGATCCAGATATAAAACTCTTTGATGTAGTTCCTGAGACTATCATGGACAACACATTCCTTAAGAAAACTGCTTGTCGCAAATTTGTTTCCAGATGGTTCTGTATTAAATTTAATTATCACTAATAATGGAATGTAATAAATTGTCCATTTGTGCCTCAAAAACAGTTATTCACGTTTAGAATCAAATTCTCCGCTTGCAGGATGCGGACAATATGGTAATTTTGTAAGAATACAATTCAAACAGATTATGATATTGTAGGAAAGTGCTCGAAGCATCAGCAATTCTTATAAATACAGTAGTTATCACAAAAATCAAAGCAAGTTACGGTATATCACTACAATATTACAATAAATACATAATACAGATTACAGCGCTACTACTTAGCTACTTTTTACAATCCGGCTACACTGATGCGCAATCTCAGGAGTAATCTGCCTTAAAATCAAATAAACAGTATTGATTAGGTTGTTTCTGGGGTTCCTAACGATTTAGGGGGGGGGGGGGGGGGGGCCAAGTGGATATTTGTAGATATTTGTACATTAATGTAGAATGGATAATCCACGAAAAAAGTGGATGACATTCTACAAATTTATACATTTATCTCCAAAAATTCAGTAGAAATTCTGGGCACATATTTGAGATATACATTTTTTGTAGATAAATGTAGATACTTGTAGATTATTGTAATGGATAATTCACGAAAAAAGTGGATGACATTATCCAAATATCTACAAATATCCACTTGGCTCCCCACCTAGATATTTAAATTTACACTTCTAATTTGGCCAAATGGCAAATTCTACATTTTCTTCAACATATTTTCACAAATATTCATCAGATGATGGGCCCAAAATCTTCGCTTCGTGAAAAGATTGAGAATGAAATTGGCAGACCGATCCTGGAAAATTATTGCACGAAAAGAGATGGTCCGATAATGATGCCCCCGATACCAGATTCAACATTTATAGATAAGCTTCCGGATGGTAGTGCTATAGAGCTCACAGGAGCTAATCAGTTGGATGTCAATGCAAAGGAGAAGATAAATCAGGACGCATATGTAGCCGAAGTAAAAGTATATCGATATCTTGAGGAGATGAAGAGAGACTATGTTGTAATTCATCAATTAAGATATACACATGAGCAATATTCTGCTTTCCTTCCAAACCACCAGTGTAAAAAGAAGAAGAGGGATGACGAAGGAGAATGTGATTTCGTGGTGGTAGGTTATCAGTTTGTTGCGGTGCTAGAAGTTAAATCGTTTCCGGGCACAGCAGAAGACACTTTTAAGTTTAAGGCTTGCTACGATAGCGCACGGAAACAAAGGAAAAGAACGAGTGATCTAGTTAAGTCCATAGAGCCCTCAATGATGGTATACGAGTTCACAGTATTTCCTAATATTTCGATAGAAGAGGTGGAAGAACAGTATCTATGTAATGAAACATTATTGTTTAGCGAAGATCTTGATAACTTTAAACATATCATCAGCTGCTGTGAAACATTTGCTTCACTACCAGTAATTGGGACGGTTGCGAAATCTGCGAGAGATAAATTGTGTTGCTGTCTTCTCGGACTGTGGTGTATCGACCAACAAAACAAATTTAAATTAGATATCTGTAGCTTGTCTTATTGCATCATTGATATAAGTGAGAAACTCAGAAAAGCATTGGTTACAAAAAAATTAATCGATGAAGAAGAGAAGAGGAGAAAAAAGAATAAGAAGAAGTATCCAGAAAATCGTGAAATGGTCGTTGCACCAGAACTCTTTAAAGAGCATCTAAAGATAAACTGTCTAACAAAACACCAGTTAGATGTATTCAATAGTAAAGAGAGATTCCTGTGGGTGGAGGGCCCCGCTGGAACAGGAAAAACTATTGTAATGTTAGGAAAAATAATAGACCTGGCTCTCAACACACCACCTGAGAAGAGGATTCTTTTAATGATAGCAGCACATTTTAAAACACCGATAGTGCTTCAATATATGGAATTACTAAACAACATCAGTGTCGACATAAAGTGTGAGATGATAGTCTAGGTAAACTATAGGTAAAAATATAATATTAATCATAAGCTAAAATGTACTAACCTTTGTATTCTAAATGGGGAAAAAGAAGAAACATTGTCAGTCAGTCGAGAAAATTGTCTGTCAGTGTATAACTTCGAAGAGGATGATACTAATGTAACTGATCAGTTGAACGAAGGGTACAGATCATTATCACAACAAATGTCTAAATGTAAGAGTAAAATCGTATTACTGGTCTTTAGTAAATGCTCA